CGACTCCCAGTCCTGCACTAGAACCGTACGCCAAGTCTCTGGAGAAGACACATTATGTGTCCCAGGGAATACAAAGCAAACACTTGAGAGTGATAAAGTGGGAGTGGGAGGAAGCAGGGCAACCTAGACTCTGCTTTTTCTCCAAATGGAAATACAATTGGAAGCAGAACTTGTGTGTTCATTGTATTCCGTTAGATCTTTTTCATCCAAACCACTTCAAAATAGTTACAGATTTCCAAGGACTGAAAAGAGGGATCTATTGACTTGTGACCACAGAAGTACACAGATTGACTAGGTAATAGGGAAGGAAAGAAGGCTAGCAAGACTACATAAATAAAGGAGACAGGGAGAAAGCCTTAATACTCACATCCAGGTAGTTGGCTATTGGTACATCAGCGACATTGTAATTATTGAAGTGGTACTTCCTGGCAGGATCAACTTTGTGATGCTTCAGAAAATCCTCCAGAACTCCTTTCTCCTTCATCACCTCTCGCATAGACTTTCCTTTCTTCAGAGTGACTCTGCACAGAACAAGAGCAGCTCAGGAAATGGTTCGTCCTCCCAAGCATCTCTCATGTTGTTCCTCTCTGTATCCTGCCATAATGCCGTTCCTTCCTCTTAAGTACCTCTTACAGATCAGTGTGTTATCACTCAAAGTGAGAACGCCTGAGCAGAGGCAGAAATATATTTACAAATATCATACAATTAATAGTACTTTGTAAGGAACATAAGGACATAACTTAGCAGAATACAGAAATGCTGATTTATTTACTATGTGGGTACTTCTACGCACTCCTCACTACAATATCTGTTCTGGAATACTCACTTCACCAGCCCTTCTGAGAGCTGGAGACAAACCAGAGCCAGGATGAGCCACTTCATGGTGCTCGATTTCTCCACCAAGCAGCTCCTGATCAGAACACGTCGGTCACTGCCACAAAACTAGGCTGACGCATCTAATCTACAATCCCTACTTTTATATCCTGGGCACTGCCCCCTGCTCCATTATCTGCTGGCACCCAAATTCCCATATCACGGTGCTCACCCAGCGTCAACACTTGGTGTATTTTATTTCTCCGTGAAGTATGAAGATGTTTGTTTCTTTTGTTGGGTGCTGAGATTGTAAAGCAATTAGCACTTTTGACAGCAAGATCAAACAATTAAGATCTGCTCAGAAGCAAACCTCTGCTCACAACAAAAGAAAGGTGTTGTCAAAATGTCAACACACTGGAGCGTTATCTGTTTGCTTCGAAACTTCCCTGCCAAAAATGAAGAAATCCATCGCTGGCTGCAATGAATGGAAATTTGATACAGTTCTCTCTTTTTGACCCTAGTGGTTAGCCAAAATTCAAGGCCTAGCTGATTGTTTTGCTTAGGAGAAGAAAGTCATGTTAGAGTCAGATATTTCTTTGATGCAATCTGGTTCACTTACAAAGACCGTACAAAGTCCTGTTTCCCTGAAAACAACAGGAATCAAACATCAGGAGAAAGTTTCTTTCTCACAGTTCCAAGCCCCTTTCTAGCTAGCACTTAGCCCCAAAATCTCCCTCTTTCTAGGCTGTGTCTCAGAGCCACGCTCCCAGGCCTTTCCTGAATTTGTTTCTGTGGTGTTTCTCTTCTTCCCTCACACACACAGACACACCACTCCAGTCCAATCGATCCCCCGGTCCTGAGTTTATCGGATCACAGTTAGAGCTGTGTGAATAACTGATTTTTTAGATCATTGGATGTACCCAAAAAAATATTTTGGGTCAAAGTGCATTGTTCAACCCAAAACAAAGCCTTTGGTTTTGCTTTTGAGCTTTTTTTTTTTTTGAAATAAAAACAAACAAACTAGGAGTACATTTCTAAACAAAATTTGTTGTGAATCACTCAAAAAGCTTCATTTATAAAATGTCATAACTAAACACTCGTTTTTGTTTGTTTTTTCAACTGAAACAATTTGGTGAGTTTGAAACAAATTTTCAAAACGTTTTGGTTTTGAAACAAATCTGCATTTTTTGTGGAAAAATTCCAGCCAAAAAATTCTGCTCTGCTGTGATCGCAACAGAACTCCCTTTGGGCCTCAAAGCTGGTTCCTACTCCCGTCTTGCCTGTGGTTTTGCTTTGGGCGGAGGCTTCTATTGTGTCAGCTATTTATCCCTTAAAGGAGGTCCATTCTGTTTTACATTTATCCTGAATGAAAGACCGCTGTTTATGCCTACCAGCCTTACTCTTGTTAAACCAACCGATGAAAGAGTTGCTGAGATTATGGAAATTCTGTTAAGTCACTGCTCCCCAACACTTCCGAAAGCAAATATAAGACATAAAAGCAAAAATTGTGCTTAATGATGGGCGCTCATCCACTAACCTTTTGTGATATGGCCAAAAGATAGAGGAAGAGCTGCAACAGTTACAGGATGCTGAAATTGTATCCAAGGTTAACTGCAGTGAATGGAGCACCCTTATAGCGTCAGTAGGAAAAGAATGGGGCTGTCGGTCTTTACAATGATTTCAAGGTAACACACATGAAAGCAAAAACTTCACCAGGGGGCAATGCCTAAATTTTTTCAAGCTCATCCACTACCGTTTGCGATACAGCCAGGGACAGAGATATCACTTACTGGGCTCTGGAAATCTATCCAAGGTTAGCTGGAGTGAATGCAGCACCCTTATAGTGGCCGTTTCAAGGATCCCATAAAGTAGGGTGACCAGATAGCAACTGTGAAAAAACAGGACAGGCGGTGGGGGGGGGGAGGGCGGAAATAGGCACCTATATAAGAAAAAGTCCCAAAAAACGGGACTGTCCCTATAAAAACGGGACATCTGGTTACCCTACCATAAAGCCGGTATTGCATGCGGATCAGCTTACTTTACATGGAAGAGAGATTATATTTGCCTCATTAGCTGTGAAGAGCATTTCTCCACGATCAACCTTGTCCAACCCTGTCTCCAAATTAACAGACACAAAGGCTTACTCCAATCTAACAGGCTAGTGTTTGGAATAGTTTGTGCACCTGCTATTTGCCAGTGAGCCATGGGCTGTGTATCATAGGGCATTCCTGGCACTCGGTTTTACTAAGACAATATACTAGTCCTGGCGATAGTTATGAAGAGCATTTTGAGACCCTCCAAAAGGTACTTGTGAGGCTGGCTGGGCAGGGGCTTAGAGCAAACAAGGGGAAATGTGAACTTTTCACAGAGTCACGTACATCTTGTGGCCACTGACCAAGACAGATTGCATAGATCCCAAGAGAAAGCTGAAGCTGTCCTTAGCACGACCCAGCCACAAAACGTGCCCTACAGTTACATGCCTTCTGGGGCCTGGTCATTTAGTACCATCGGTTCTTACTAGAGCTGGTGGGAAATAATTTGTCTGAACCATTTCCCAAGAAAAATGCCCTTTTTGCAAAGCCATGGGAAAATTTCAGGTTTTGCCAAAAAAATGTCAACTCCCTGTCAGGAAAGTCAAAGTGACAGCTCCCAGGCAGGCAGGCTGTGGCGCTCTTGTCAATTTCACTTCTGCCTGCCTGCAGCTGGAGGGGGCCTGGAGACTGAGCACCCAGGCTTTCTGCCCCGCCAGTCCCGGAGCTGGGTGGGGAGGCTAAGCTGCAGTCAGGATCCTTGTCTTCTATTCACAAAAGTCGAAAGAGGAGGCTGCAGGGTTGCCCACCCTCCAGGATCATCCCAGAGTCTCCAGGAATTAAAGATGAAACTTTAATTACAGATTATGTCAGGTGATGAAGCCTCCAGGAAGACATCCAGCCAAAACTGGCAACCCTAGGCAGCTGTGAGGGTAAATTAAGTAAGGAGGAAAGTGTTCCTATCCCCATATGGCAGAGAGGGAAAGTGACTTGCTCTCTGTCACATCAAATGTCAGCAGTAGAGCCAGGACTGGAATTCTGGAGCACCGTTACCCCAAGGCAGGATACGAGCGACTCCCACTGATTGCAGCTGACAGCACTGTACCTGAGAGCAAAATTTGGCCCCTAGATTTGCCCGTGCTCAGAGTAGCTCATCAGGAGTGGCTAGATGTTTCTGCCCATGAGTTCAATGTCCCATTGACATCAACTCGGATTCTGTAGCAGAAGATTAAGGGCCAACAAGCCCCACCTCCAGGGTGTTGAAATGTGCCAGGTTCCCTAGAGTTCCACCTTCCTGGTTCCGTTGGCTCTTTGGTGAAATCGGACCAGATCTGTGAAATGTTGTGGTCTTGCTGAATTGGCAAATTGTTGAATTGGAAGTTTTTCTGACCAGCTGTAGTCTTCAGTTAACAGATGGGTAAACTGAGGCCCACAGCAGGGAAGTGACTTGCCTGAGTTCAGATAGGGATTCAGCGGCACGGTCAGGAATGGAACCAGCACTCACGATTCTCAGGCCTTTGCCATAACCACCAAACATTCTTATCAACCTTATCTTAACTAAAGGAGGGACGATCATTTTCTAAGTGACCAGGGTTCTGCTTAAACCTCACCCTCCCTGGGCCTCTGCTTCCACATCTCAGAGTGCTTTGAGATCTACAGATTAAAAGAGATGCATATTATCAAGCCACTAGTCCCAACAAAGGAAGGGAAGGTGTAGTGAGCCAGGTAGTGTTTAAACTTGGAGCTGCAGCATGACTATCCTACAACACCATGTTAAGTGTGGGTGGTATTTAAATGAAATTCCTGTGGTTGGTTTAGCTTTAAATTGGCCCCTACTCAGAGCAGCTGCATGTTTCTGCCCAGGACATACTGCTTTGATGCCATGCTTCCCTCAGCCAGGTGTTTATTTTGCACCAAGAGATCAAACCAAAACACATGTGCTTCATGTTTTTAATGCCTTTTATTTATTTGCAGTCACCTTCGAAGGGGAGCCCAGAATTCACCGGAGAGAGGCTTCAGAAATTTGCAAAAGTTCAGTACACAGAGACGTTCAAAATCCTTGGCAAGAGGCATGAGGGGGCCAGAGTGTCACAGCCCAGCAGGTTGGAGCAGAGGCAGGAGACAGTTCGGAGCAGCGTGGAAGACAGTCGATGGCACTTACGCTGCTGGGGCAAAGCCCACCTGACTCTTGCCTACATCATAAACAGAGTAATATGCCCTGAGGAAGACGTCACCCAGGATCCAGAGGGGCTGCCCGTTCGGGGATGGCAGGTAAGTGGGTGAGATGCCCACAACGCACTCGGTGCTTTTGCTCTGTTGAGAAGAAGATAGAAAGCTGAGTTAAAGCCCTTTGGTTTGGAAGCTCTGGTCATACCCCGTCACATGGATAACACAAGTACGGATGTGCCCAGCAGACCCATATCAAATATACAGCTCTCCGGGAGCCCACCCAGAGGAGACTATGCAAGTAGAGGAAGGTGAGGATAGCGCACTGCGATGAGAATCCATACCGGGAGCACGTAGGCAGAGGGGCTCAGCGGGAAGCTGGTTCCACTGATGGTGAAGGAGATGGTAGGCATGCTGTCAATGCTGCTGCAGCTAACCATGTACTGTGGAAAGAGGAAGCAAGAGCAGGTTTGCGTACTATGTACAGCCACTGCAGACAAAATGCTACATCCCATGGGACTCTCGAACCCCGCACTTCTCCACACAGACTGCCTTCCATCAGCCTGGGAAAGCTCTTTATAACAATCACATGGAAAAGGAAGGAAGTCAAATGCTTTACTACAGTTGAAAGGCCTCAACACCCTGAACAAGCAGAGATTATTAGGTCCACCTTACAGATGGGCAAACAGGCACAAAAAAGGTTAAATGAGTTGCCCAAGACCCAACTGAGAGTGAGTGGCAGATCCAAGAATAGAATAGTCCAGACAACCAGTCACCTGCTTTAACAACTAGACCACACTTTCTCTAAGCTGCTTCACCTAACAGAAACCTGCTTAGCAGCAAGGTTCTTCCCCTCTTCCACTTTTAAGCCTCCCGGTGGCCAGCTGTTCTCCATACCTCTCCATCGCTGTTCTCCTGAGCGCCAATGTCCTCCATCAACTGCGAAAAAACCGCCTGTGGAGCAGTGAGGAGGGAAGTTCCAGTGTCCACAATCCCCTGGCAGCCACTGCTACACCAGCCAGTGGACTGTCCGGCAACAGAGAAACTAAGGGAACAGAACACAGGACACTTCAGCAGGAAAATTCCGCAGCGATGTACCCATCTCTTGCGTGATGAACCAAGAACATGGGGGTGCTGCCATTAGAGATGTTAGAGCCACTGTTTTGTGTTCTCGTGGCATCTCTGGAACTTTTTAAGTTTGGGTTATTTAAGGTCCCACAGAGACTCAGGGGCAGAGTCTGGAGTAGAACCCAGGAGCCGAGTCAGGAGTAGGAGCCAGGAGTCCAGGTCTTGGCTCCCAGAGTCCTCTGTCTGATCACGGAGGACAGGTTAAGGCTATTAGCCAAGATGGTCAGGGATGCAACCCACCCCATGCTCTGGGTGTCCTTAGCCACAGCTTGCCATAAGCTGGGAGTGGACAACAGGGAATGGTTCACTCAGTGATTGTCCTGTACTGTTCATTCCCGCTGAAGCACCTGGCATTGGCCACAGTTGGAAGACAGGCTAGATGGACCATTCATCTGATCCAGTGTGGCCATTCTTATGTTTGTTATTATGATCAAACATGTTCCAAAGCCCACTGAAATTAATGGAAGGACTCCCACTGATTATGATGGGCTCAGAATCAGGCCCTACATTCCTACAAAAAATACCAATGACAACAACCTTACCCTTCAATTCCAATTTGCCAATAAGCATCCTGGGTGACAGGCGTCCAGACAATCTGACCAGAGTACAAATTGGAGTCAATCCCTCCAAAGAGAAGTTCACCACCATCCTGAACGCCCTCTTGCCTAAACAAACGCACAGGAGAGAAAGCGCCTGGTTATTTATAGCCATCTCCGGAGTCCAAAGATAGACTGTGACTGGAACATCCAGGATCCTAGCTGGAGTTATAGCACAAAAACCTTCTCAGAGATAGACCAAGAACCCTGGTGACAATGGGGGGTGGGGGAAATCAAGCTTATGAGGAGCTTTCGATCATCATGCACCAGACACATTGGTGCTGTGACACCTGCCCGTTCATCCAGTGAGCTGCAAACCTGGGCAGTCCCCAAATACGACGACGGCGGGTGGGTGCCAGTGAGTTTGCAATGGGGTGTTTCAGAAAAGCCTCATCTACTGTTTGGAGGAAATGAATCATCTTGTAACAAGGGTGGAGTTGTCAATCTAGTGCCCGGCGTTCAAAGGTGCCATGGAGGTAACTGTGGGTACTCGGCATCTGGGAAAAAGCTGGCACGGAGTGTCCAGAGCAAATCATAGAATCATAGGATTGGAAGGGACCTCAAGAGGGCATCGAGTCCAGTCCCCTGCACTCGTGGCAGGATTAATTATCTAGACCAGGGGTCTCAAACACGCGGCACATCCCACACCCCTCCCGCACTCCAACCCCCTGCCCTGAGCCCCCTGCCACACCTCAACCCCCTGCCCTGAGCCCCCTGCCACACCCCAACCCCCTGCCCTGAGCCCCCTGCCACATCCTGCACCCCAACCCGCTGCCCTGAGCTCCCTGCCACATCCCGCACCCCAACCCGCTGCCCTGAGCCCCCTGCCACACCCCAACCCCCTGCCCTGAGCCCCCTGCCACATCCCACACCCCAACCCCCTGCCACATCCCACACCCCTCCCGCACCCCAACCCCCTGCCCTGAGCCCCCTGCCACATCCCGCACCCCAACCCCCTGC